ACAGAGTTATTCCAGGACAAAGATATATACAGAGAACCTGTCTCAAAAAGCCAAAAATTAGAAGTAAAAATAAAAGAAATAGAAGTTAAAATAAAGCCACATAAAGATGGAAAATACACAGAGAATCTTGATACTGTGTGCTATTATGCTCTCTTTGAATTGTTTGATTGCTGAGGAAGGAACAACAGCTGCTAAAAGACTTTTGTTTATAAATGCTGCTGAACTAACCCAAGATAGGTATTTTGAAAATACCTTGGCTTCAAAACTGAAGTCAACAGGTATGTTACTTTGGAGAAGAGATTTTGCTTTTGTTTCCACAGAAAATGAGAGGCTGTGGATGCATTCTGAGTTAAGAAAAATCAGATTTGATAAAGGAAGACCAGCTGAGAAATCTCTGATAGGAACAGATGGCCCAGATGACAGAGTTCTACGTCCAGAACACATTCAAGACTGCTGCCTGAGATGATCAAGACTCACAGGATACTCCAGTCAGGACTTGATTATAACTCTAAATTTTCTTTAGGTCCCCATAAGATCATCAGCGCCCCCAACCAGCAGGAAGTAGTCTAAAATACTACACCCACATTCCCAACAAATGGACTATGGGTATTTTCCTTTGTTTAAAAAAAAAAAAAAGGAAAATGGTGTGGCAGAATTGTCTGTATTCTGTCAATCATATTTTAATAAAACGCTGATTGGCCAGACAGGAAGTAGAGGTGGAGCAAAGAGACTGGGAGTATTCTGGGAAGCAGGAAGCTCTCCAGCACTCCTGCGCAGACCACCGAAGAGGCAGCATGTAAGCTGTCACGCTGAAAAAGGAACCAAGCCATATGGCTAACGTAGATAAGAATAATGGGGTAATATGTGTCATAAGAACTAATAAGTAGCCTGACCTAAAGGGCCAATCAGTTTATAATTTTATGGAGTCTTGTGAGTGATTTTCTTTGGGATTTTCCGGCTGTGGGGTACTGGGCGGGAACAGATACCCCAATAAGCTGGCCCTCATGTTACACATAAGGAACTTAAGAAGCTAGACATCAACAAACAAAATAATCAAATTTAAAATGGGGCACAGATAAAAACAGAATTATCAATGGAGAAATTTCAAATGGCTGAGAAACACTTAAAGAAATGTTCAATATCCTTTGTTATGAAGGAACTGCACATCAAAACTACTTTACGATTCCATTGCATGATGGGAGTACAAACTTGTACAGTCACTGTTTGTGGAATATTTGTTTAATGATGCAAAGATGTGTTGTATTCTTCTATGTCACATTTGTTTAACTTTGTTAACTTGTCTGTCTAAAACACTTGAATGGTCTAATAAACAGCTGAACAGCCAATATCTAGGCAAGAGGAAGAAATAGGCAGGTCTGCCAGGCAGAGAGAATATATAGGAGGAGAGACATAGGCTTGACGAAAGAAGAAGAGCTAGGATCAATAAAAGGAGAAGACGAGGGAGATGCCAGGGACCAGCCACTCAGCCACACAGTCAGACACAGAGTAAGAAGGAAAGAAAGAAATATGGAATAAAGAAAGGTAAAATGCCCAGAGGCAAAATGTAAAGAGAAACAGAATTATTTAAGTTTGAAAGCTAGCTAGAAACAAGTCAAGTTTTCAGGGCCTCTTGTCTCCTGTAGGAACGAACAAAAGCATAACCCCTTCTCCAAAGCATTTTAAATTTCCCATTGAGAAATATTTTTTGACTTCTTTTTTAAAGATAGCCCTAAAGTATATTGGCTTCTTCAGTTTTGGAGTCCTATTCACAGGTCCATGTCTGCCAGCAGTTATGTGCTCATCGGCATTCAAAAAATTCAAAATAAACAATACTATATAGGATTCAGACTCCCTGTGAATTTCCTGTGTTTAAGTGGCTTGTTTCTTTTATATTACTTTTATTCTCTCTGTTAAGATTTTACTTATTTTTTGAAAAAATTTTTCTATGACTATGCCCTTTCTCTTTTTTTCTTAATCCTATGCACATTGTAAAACATACTGTAACCTGTTTAGAGATTTTTTGTTCCTGTCTGGTCCTCATTTACTGCATATCTTTTAGCCTTTATTGTCTCATTGCTTGTTAGCTTATGAAAATAAGAAATTGTTCTAAGGCGATACATTGTTAAACCACCATCTTGAGTTGTGGAATACCAAACAAAATTCACAAGGGCTAATGATTTACATCATCAATGGATAAGCGTGTTGACCTAAATGTAACACTAAACAGGAGAGCACAAGTTTTTAGTTCATCATTGACTTTAGACAGGTCAGTTATTAATGCCCTAGTTTTATTAATGTTGCTCCGTGCAATACCTGCTGGAAGGAAATGGCCATCACAAGATATTTGCCAGATGCCACACCAAGAAAGGAACTCTATCTTTTGGGTCACACTGGAACTGTCCAACAGACTGGTTACATCTGTTTAAGACTATTGCTTTTAAAAGCAAGGGAGGCCAATTCCAATGCCCTATTCATGGAATGTCCTGAAAACCGGGTCCAACACATTTGAAAGTGTTAGGGAGTTGGTTTCAGAGAGATTTTCAGAGTCTGTCTCTAATTCAAAGGCATACCTTATGAAGCAGCGTCAAAGCTGAAAGAATTCTGATAACTTTCCAAAATGAGAAATACTTTAATTTTTAAATGCCCATTGAGTTATCATTTAATTTCACATATGGAAGTAGAAGTCTATTATCCTGCAAGCACATTGATTTACTAGAATAGCTTTGTGGGGGGGGGGTTGTTTGTTTGCTGTTTTGATTTTTATCTTTTCCTTCTAGTGTCTAGTGGGCAACATGAAATTAAAAGTGAGATCTTGAGTGTAGTGTCAATCACTTGAAATGTAGTCCTCTCATCTTATCTCAACCTTTCATAGAACAATAGTTAGAAACTGAGCTTTTTAGTCCCTTCTAAATTTTATTGAGTTCTTGGTCCTTGAAAGTGCTTGTAGGCTGTACAGCATGCTTATTTCTTCAGTTAATCATTGTCAAGGACCATGAATGGACTGATCAATGGAGATGAAGTGTTATTCTCAAAGCTGGCAGCCTTGTGTAGGTATCAAATGGATGTATTAGGGGGAATGTCTTAGTTACTTTCCTATTGCTGGGAAGAGACTTCATGACTAAGGCAACCTATAAGAGAAAGGCTTTAATCAGGGACTTGCTTTTGATTTCAGAGAATAAATAAAGTCCATAACCATCATGTCAGGGAGCATGGCAGCAGGCAGGTCAGCATGATGCTGGAGAAGTAGCTGAAAGTTACTTATTGTGGGGGAAGGGGAGAGAGAGAGAGAGAGAGAGAGAGAGAGAGAGAGAGAGAGAGATAGAGAGAGAGAGAACAAGCGAGCCCTTGCTGGAAACTGGAAATAGGTGTTTTGAGAACCAGATGCCCCCAGCAACAAACCTTCTCCAATCCAACAAAGGCACACCCTCTAATCTTATCCAAATAGTTCTACCAACTAGAAAACAAGCATTCAAATGTATGAGCCTATAGGAGCTATTCTTATTTAAATCGCCAGAGGGAGAGAAACATGGTGAGGAGATCACTATTCTCAGGGTGCTCCTCTAGGTAGACCACTATTCCAAAGACTGCTGCATCCATTTGTTATGCATATGGATTTATTTGCAGCGATACACTCAACCTGGAAACAGTATTGTCTGTGACAAAGTCTTGGCTGCCAGGCCAAGGCACTGACACAATAATCAATGTCCAGTCCTAGCTGCTGGTCCTGTGTAGCATTATGAATCTACCAGGAAACATTTCCTCCTCTGTGAATGAACAGACTTATTTGTTTATTCAGCTGATGTCTGTGCAATTTCTGTTGTGCCAGGAATTGAGGCAGCCAATAAAGACAGCTGGTGACATGTGGGATGTCATTGTCTATGCAAATAGCTGTCACAGCACTCTTCTGAGCCCCACACTTTGAAACAGCAGATAGAGCTTTGCTTTGTGAACTATGAAGTTACCATACAAATTCAAGAGGTTCTGACAGTCAAAGGCAGTGAGTTAAGGCTAAGAGATGAAACGGCACGCATTTATTAGGTTGAATATGAGAAGAAAATAAAAGATAAGGGAAGTCAGCCCTTGATTATTCTCAGACTGGTTAAAGTTTATGATTATCAATGCCCTTTGATTCTCCTTCCCCTTCCAACCACGACTATTGAATATTTCTCTGCTCATTAACACCTGTCTAGGAGTGGGAAGGTGAAATGCTAATCAGGCAATTTAGCTAATTGTTAGCTGCTGCTAGGATGCAGTTCTTATTTTTATTTTTTTCTTCCCGGTCCAGATAGGGAAGGGCTGAAATCTTTTCCTAAAATGTTAGCAGTGGATTTCTCAACTTTTTGCTACCTTCTCATTCTTTCATTGATGAGATAAATTAAAATATTTTGTTTTCAGTAAGGTGTTGGAATAAAACCCAGAGACATTATGTTTCTCAATGTTCTATTTTAATGTTATATTACATACGTCTTATTGACTGATATTTAGAAAATATCAGATGTCTACAACATGACTCGCTTAGAATAGTGGTCAGGATTTAATAATTTCAGTTTTAAATGCAGCCCCATATAAGTGCACTTGCTAAGAGGATTTGGAGCAACCAGAAACCAACTCAGAAAATTACTTAAGTCTGTCCTCCACTCTGCCTGTGGTAGACATTACATGACCCTCCCCTAACCAAATAAGGGAGAGGGGAATGTTCTGGGGATTAGGGGCACTAAGAATAAATCTGAGCTATCTCGGATAAGATTACTTTCAACTCTTTATTTCATGTTTTCTGACACAGACCCCTGTAATTAACTCAGAGACAGTGCGGGGGCTTAGACAGTATTTTCTAGATACTTTGGTATCTTTTTCTTCTTTTGTTTATTTCCTTGTTTATTTATTTATTTATTGCCTGTCTCTTTAGGGCTGGAGAGCCAGTGTGTGTGTGTGTGTGTGTGTGTGTGTGTGTTTCTCTAGAGTGCCAAAAAAAAAAAAAGTGTTGAAGAGTCCTAGGGAGATGAGGCTATTTTTGTTTGAAGCTGATACTTCTAGCTGAGCCACAAGTACTGCTTGGAAAGGGCTGAGGTTGTTTCCAGGGGGAGAACTCTGCAGAGAAGAGGCAAAGTTCAACAGGACCACGGAAAGCAGCTGAAAACAGCCAGGAAAAGCAAGAGGCCTCACGTTCGCCCTCTCCCAGAGTTCTCTAACCCTCCGGAATTCTGCAAAGTACCACTTGACTGGAACTTTTCACCTGATTGATTTCTGCATCCACCATGACTGAGATCACCGCAGAAGGTACTGTAGCTTGGGGACATTATGCAAATTGACAGACACTGGGACTCCCCCATGCTTCTGTTTAAAATCTTGTCTTTAGGTAGTCATCTTGTTTTGTGAGACTACACCGGATCTGGGAAAGGAATTTGTGAGCGGAGAGATTGCCAGATATATATGTTGGGCGAGTAAGAAGAGGTTTCTCTGGAGTTTTGCCTGTGGAAACTCTTCTCTGCTCTGCTCAAGGCCCTGCTGCTTACTCAGTTATCGCTCACACCTCTATAAATAGCCCCGGGCCTGAACATAATGGCTGAGTTCTTATCAAGCAAAAATTATAAGGCCTGTGAGGATGAGACAATTAAAATAAAATATTAGGCGTGGGGCTTCAATTTGGAAATTTGATTCAGAGCACTTTTGCTTTATAGTATTTAAAACTCGGATTCTTAATCGTTTTCCCTTTCCAGCTGGAGCACACACAGATTACGTGTGTGCATCTCAGACAAAAGTGTTCTGAAGGTTCCTATCCGTTCTGCTTTTGATAGGTGCTCAGAGACAAAGTTAGAAATCTCAAAAGTCAGGTCAACCCAACTTTAAAAACAAAGCCTTTAATTCTTAGAATTCTAGTTATTTCATGAACTCGGTCCTTTTATCTCTACAAATAGTGAATTCTATATTTATATCAAAATAAGTATTTCAACTCTTATAATAAAGGTATACATACACAAGTAAAAATGTAATTTTTATTATATAATGATGCTAGTAAAACAATTTAGACCAACACACACACACATACACACACACACACACACACACACACACTAATAAAGAAATCTTTTAAAAATAATACAATATGGTCTAGTTGAGGTAAAACATTACATGATAGGCCTGCAATTTTCTCTGACAGCTGTAAAAAAAAAAAGGCAGGTGACACTTTTGACAATTACCAAGTTAAATGCCATTTTCTTTTTAACCAGCTATAAAATAGAAATCTGTAAATTTTGTCTTTTGGGTGGGTAGAAATCTATGTATCAAAAGTAATTTTTTCTGCAGGTTTATGTAATATCTGTGATTTTAAAAAAGTGCTCTTCTTTTATCACCTATAAAGATCATCTGGCACCCCAAAGAAATAACAATCATTACTGAGGGATTTCCACTTATAGGTTTCTGTTGTTGTTGTTGTTTAGAATTATATACATATTTCCTTTTTGAGACCTCATGTAGTTCAAAGGGGTAGCATTTCAATTTCTATTTCACAAAAAGAAAACTGTTACTCAGATATTCCATGACTTGCTTGTTACCAAACCCAGGTTTGGTATCAGACTCTTTCTCTTTTCCATTAGAGGGTATCAGATTTACTGTTTGCCAGTTTTAGTTTAGAATATGCTAACTGAATATAAATAGTATTTTTTTCTGTTCCTTGGACATTCTGTGTCATGTGAACCTTATGTTGGTCTTCAAGACATTGCTTTATAAAAATGTTTTGCTTATTCCTGCATGAGTTGTTAGGAAACCACTGAGCATTCCTGCCAGCTTCTACCCAGAGCCTGAGCTGCTCCTGATTCCAGGCATCAACTGACCAAACATGTTCCTTGATTATAGAGCACACTCTATACACATTTGCATTTGATCCATATTTTTATGATTTTTGATTCCCGGCAGGCCATGTGATGACAGGCAGCGGGCTCTGGGAGCAGCCAGTCCCAGACAGAGATGGCTAAGATCCCTGCAAGATCCCCGGAGCGGTTTCTGGCCCTGGGCAGGGAGACACATGGCGGGTGGGTAGGAGACAGAGACATGGATAGACACAACATGTAGAGTGAGGTTGAATATTTATTCAGGGGTTATGGACTGGGAAGGGAAAAGGGGAAGAGAAAGAGAGAGAGAGAGAGAGAGAGAGAGAGAGAGAGAGAGAGGAAGAAGAAAGAGAAAGAGAAGGGGGAAAAACGGGAGGGAAGCACACACCCCAAGAGAGGAGAGTGAGACATCTAAGATGGCAGTGGGAGGGAGGGGCCACAGGGAGTGGGCGTGGCTTGCCTCTTAAAGAGACAAAAACCATAACACATATCACTTTCCATAAGATGATAATTGTTTTGAAATAGAGTTATCATTTGTAACTGCAGGGAGTTTAAAGACATTGTAAAGCACCTGTAGTAAAAGCAGCCAAACATGCTGAATATGAGTATAATTTCTAGATAGCTTTCTTGACAGCCCTCATTTCCCATGGTCTGTTCTTCATAGCTGACAGGGTCTCTATCATTTGGTCATCAGTGATGTACTGTTTCGTTTTCCAAAATGATGTTTATTTCCCAGGAGAAACTTAGACTGCCTTCATATCATAGTCATGCTTTATGGTTTTCCAAAAGGATTTTATGCTTTTTATTTTATCTCATGGTTCCCACTCTCTGTTTCTTATTTTCAGCAATTTATTTATTTGTTTGTTTATTTGTACTTAACTAAGAAGACACTCCAGTTGTTCTCTCATGTACTATATTCCCCTTACAACTATTTGTGGGCTAATTGCTGAGGTATCAGCACTGCCTTAGTCGTCCCATATTATCCTTTCCCCTTTCTACTTGCTGAATATGAAAAGCAGGCATTTTGTAGATCAACATCAAATAAGACCTAGGGTAATTTCTTGGAAGTTTGCTGTCACATTAATTCTAAGTTTCTTCCTTAAATAAAGAAGTTCACAGGTTGATACATGGCTTATGCAACTCTAGTGCATGTGCATGCCACATTTACCACCCTTACAAAATCTTGCACATGGATTTTTTTTTTTTTTAGTGATGTTACAAGTTGGAGAAGTTCATCCAATGGGAGAAAAGAAATCATGCTCCATATAGAACAGTGTTTCAGGTACAGAGCACTAGATGAAACAGAACTCACAAGTTCAACTCCAAAGGATTTCAGGAAAACAACACCCTTTTTTTTCTAGCCACAATTGACTTCATTTGTAAAAGAATAGGAAGAAAGAGAAATGAGAAGAATAAATAGTAAAAAAGCCTCAGCTATAGCATAAGTAGAAGAATGAGGATGACTCATAATTGAGGCTAATATGTACCCCTATAGTACAAACAAATAGAAAGAGATATTAAGGGAAGGGATACATTAAAACAAGGAGCAATCTATTACTATGGATGGCGTTACTGAACTATGAATCAGGAAATCTAAGAAAACCTTCTGATGAAAGTATTGGCTATTTGACAAACTAGCTATTAGATGAATCCAGGGACCTCCCCTTCTGTGCCAAATGAGATGAGCACAGGGGGGATATGATTTTAAGCAATTATTATTTGGAGATACAGTATAAATTATATGTGAATAATGTGATATGGTATTTGTAGTTCCAAACAATATTCCATAAGGCAACGTACTCAAGATCTGCATGTGTTAAGACAGAATATGTGTGGAATGATCTATGGAAGGGAATTTATCTCGAATGTCCTAATTCTGTGAACAGTTGCTTATTTCTAAAATGTTTAAGAGTGTAATTTTAAATAAAACTTTATTTTCTCTTCTAAGAAAACAGAGGCAGACTAGGTTCAACAAACTGAAACTACTTTGTTGGAACAGTGAAGGACCCAAACCTCTCTGAAGGGATAAATGTTAAACACATTTAGATGGGCTGGGGGACATCTATTTATACTTGGTAGCTACCAAGAAGTTACAGTTATTTTCAGTGGTTTGACCAATAGTAGGGTAGGCTGTTTGTGATACCCAAGTATATTGTTTCTGTAGCTGGAGCAGACTGGACAGCTAAGCTATTTTCTTTCTTTCTTTCTTTTTTTTTTTTTAAAATGGTGAAAGCTTGACTCATTGCTTCGACTTGTTCCTAACTAGCTCATATACCTTAACTTGACCCATATTTTTAAATCTACATTCTTTTACAGGGCTTGCATACCTTTGCTTTGTAATGCCCATGCTGCTTGCTCTGCATCCTTGAGACTCTGCCCCTTTTCTTATGACTAGGACCTATTGCCCAATACAGCCTGGTTCAATTTATTGTGACCTGAGGCTATTTACCCAACATCCCTGAAATTGAGAGGTCAGTGAATACACTGGCCACCAAATTTAAAGTCAAAATTACTCTTTTGATTGATTATTCTGTTGTTGTTAATCGAAACCAAATATTAATGTATCAGACACAGGGCATGAAAAACACTTTTTCTTTTTCTTTTTCTTTTTTCTTTTTGGTTTTTTGAGACAGGGTTTCTCCATAACTTTGGAGCCTGTCCTAGAAACTAGCTCTTATAGACCAGGCTATCATTGAATTCACAGAAATCTGCCTGCCTCTACCTCCCAAATGCTGGGATTAAAGGTGTACAGCACCACCAACAGCAGAAGAGGAGATAATAATTTAATTATCTCCATTATTATATGATTATCTGGTGGTTAGCATCATCTCATTTATCAAATTCATTAGTGAGATTAATTACAGACATTAGTTAGCAAAAGTTATATTTTATTATGTTTTGTGGAACAACCTGAGCAACAGTGTAACATAAAAAACACTTCCTAAAAGATGCCCTATAGTGGACCCTTCTAAAACCAAAACCATGCAAATAGAAAAAATCATAAGTAGGAAACTCTTGAATGAAAATCCTTTAAATTATTACCATAACAAACAAACAAACAAGACAGTAATCACTTATAATAGGTCTCAAACCTGGGACAAATGGTTAAGTGAGGTGTCCATTAACATATCAAAGCAGACCTGGCAACCAAATTCTTCCTGTATCCCTCAATCTCTGCCTGTGACAGGGTTTTGCTGGCTAGCATTCCCTGCCCCCTACCCAAAACTTTTCCAGCCCAGAGACTGGGGTGCCCTTCTCTGTATTAATGCAACCATTTTGTTTCCCTGGCTTTTTGTCTATTCTCTACACTCCTGGAGTCTTGGTTTTGAGTTCTTCTTCTGTCCCCTCTCTCCTTACATGGCTCAGTGTCATGTCCACTGTGGATTCTCCTGGATGTCCCTGCCTCTGGCTGTGCTCTCCCTTTTATCTACAATAAACTTTCTCCTCCAT